GCGCTCCGCCACATCCAGCGCGATGACGCCCAGCTCGAAGACGTGCGGCTTGAGCTCTGCGCTCTGGTTGAACGCGTGGTTAGAAACGTACCGAGAGGGATCACCGTTGCCACAGCGCTGCTCCTCCGCCGGGTCCGCGAGGATCTGGTCTTCGGCCTCCTCTCCCTCACCTATGTCCTCCTCCGGCTCCATCTCAGTCTCCCCGAGAATGCTGACCTTGGCCAGGCCTTGGCCTTTGATTTTGCCCTCGGGTTTAGAAGGCAGGACGCTGTTGCCCCGGCCCTTGCCTGTGGACTTGCGCTCAGAGGTCGGGGCCTGTCCGTCGGGTTCTCCCCCGGTGCCAGGCGCGTGTTTTGGGGGCCCGGTTGCTGCCACCGCCACACGTACTGACGTAGAGTTGGTGCCCAGCTCATTATGTACACGGCAAGTGTAGACGCCCGCCTCCTTGGCACTCAGGAGGGGGACCAACAGGGAGCCGTTTGCGAGGGCCAGGAAGCGCGGTGTGGCTGGGGGCGCGGGCCAAGCGGGTGCGGGAATCGGCGTTGGGGCTTGGGTCTGCGTCAGCAAGTCCCCATCTCCTTCTTCTCCCTCTCCTTCCTCCGTCCCAACCCCATCGTCCTCCCCGCTCAGAACTGGTGGCTCTAAGACTACGGTGCCACCGGGGATCTGAAGTTGCCATTGCAGGCGGGGTGTGGGGTGGCCGTCGGCGATGCAGTGTAACATGAACGCCAGTCCCGCGCGCAGTGGGGTGCTCGGTGCCTCAAGCGGTGGCTCGGCACTCAGATGCACACTGGGCGGTGCACAGGGCAGGGCGGGCAGGCGGTACACCGGCACCCCCTGCAGCGCGGGAGGCGACGCACAAGCAATGGAGTCGGGCTCGGGTAAGGACACCCGGGTGCTCGCGGCCCAGGCCTGCAGCCACACAAGGCCACAGCCGCAGTGGAAGGGATTGTGATAGAGTTGCAGGTGTGACAGCGCGCTGAGCGCGTCGAAGGTGCCGGGGGCCAGTGTACGCAGCCGGTTGTTGTTGATGCGCAGGGAACGCAGGTCGGGTAGCGCACCCAGTGCGTCCCGGGGCAGAGAGCCCAGGCGGTTGTGGTTCATTTTGAGCAGCTGCAGCGCGCTCAGGTTGCGCAGGTCGCTCCACGGAAAGCTGGATATGAAGTTGTGGCTGAGGTCGAGGTTCTTGAGCTGACTCAGCACTGCCAGTGCGCCTGGCTCCACGGTGCGCACCTCATTGTGCGCCAGCCACAGCGACGTGACCTGTGTGACGTCGGCGAAGGCCCCTCGCCGCAGCACGGTGATCTTGTTCGCGGACAGACTAAGCGTGGTCACATTGGCAGGCAGTCCTTCTGGCACCTCGCGCAACTCTTTGTAAGCGCAGTCGGCGAACTGGTGAGCGTACTTGTCCACGCAGGCGCACGGCTCAGGGCATGCTCGAGCCCCTCCTAGAAGCGCCCAGACCAACCACAGGGCCCGAAGTGGGAACATCACGGCTCCTGCAGATGGAAGCCAGGGAAAGAGGAAAGAAGGTGACTCACTGAACCCTAGCTTACCTCCCCTATCAAGCTCTGCCTCCGCAAACCCGTCTAGCACAAGTTCCAGGACTCAGGTAACCTCCTCTATGGCCAGGAGCCTCTCTTGGCCAGAAGTGAAGGTCAATAAAAATCTCGAGGTTCTACGGATACTCCTTCCCAGGGCCCTAATTTCCTTTTCCAGCGGCCCGGTACATCGCTCTTTTTTCCCTTCCTACTCCTTCCTTCACGCTGGAGCTGGCCCCTCCGTAGGCTCCGCAGCTCGCCTATCTCCAGCGGGCTCCTCACGGACCCCTCTCTGTGTTTCTAAGCCTTAGTTTAACCCAGTGAAATGCATCCTACCCAGGAAGGACATTTTTGTCCGAGACTGGCTGTCCTCCCTGGAACCTTTGTCCCACATACAGCACTCGCACACACGCCCATTCAGGCGCACAACAATACACACAGACGCGGGGGTTCATCATCAAACCGCCAACTTCTGCAGGCGTTTAGAGGACCTGATGCTCAATTAGGAGGCTCACAACACATTTCCTAAACTCACAAACACATATGCACCCAGACACGGATACAATAGACCCTGGAGACCTCATTGTTCTCTTAACTGAACCGGCATTTGTACAGCGTTTTCCACCACGGTACAAAGCGCTTTCCTGTCCATTGTGAGAATTAACAGACACAAGGACACAAATCCTCACAGGAACCGACCCATCCACAAGAACACAGGCATGCGCCCGTGTGTGCACACGGCCCTCCACTGTGATAAAAACCCAGCAGAGAAGCAATAGGAGGACCTGCACTGCACGACTTGAGATGTGGGATCTGGGGAAGCCCATCCCCATGCCCTTCTGCATCTGAGGCCGAAGTCACCTGCCCGGGGCTGCAGCTCCTGTGAGGGGAGAAGAAGGTTGCTCTGCCAACCTTCCTTATGGGGAAGGAAGTCCTTCCCCCATGTTTGGACCAGGTGTGTTGGGAGAGTGGTCACTAGAGCTTCCTCTCAGGTCCCCCAGGCGGCTCCCATTGGGCAGAGGCGTCCCCAGCCAACAGGTCATGGGGCTGCCACTAGCTAATGAAGCTGGAGAAGGTGAAAGATTCTGCGCCTTTCTCCACAGCTCTGCGGTGCCTAAGGTCCCCCTCCCCATAAAACCTTAAGCCCGGTCACACAAACGAACTTGCACAGACTCCCTGCCCCCTCTGGAGCGCCTGTCAGGTTTGGCAGAGCCCCTCCCACACCCTGTCTTTGGGAACCTGCTCCTTCACTCTGCCTGTGCTCTTCTGGGAGGGTCCCTTCCCTCCCTTCTCAGTTCCTCCCAGACAGCACCTTCCCCCCAGCCCTGCACCCCATGGGGTGCTCTAGGCTGGACCTACCCTCACCTGGGTCAAGGTTGTGGGGTGGCCCCCATTACTTACCCAATATTCGCCGACTCTCAGTAAATGTCCTAGGGCTGAAACCCCTTCTCCAGACCCGGTGTGGCAGAGCAGGAAACATAGCCCAAGGAAGATACTCGCATGTGTTGTGGCTGGGGGCCGGGGGCAAAGACAGAGACAGGTAAGTTTGGGGACTCGGTGGCCCCAAAGTACCACTTCAGTTTTTCCTTTTGCGTCCGTTCCCCCCACCTCTCTGGCTGCAGGTTGGAGAAAGTCCTTGCGCGCTCCAGGCCCTGGCGGGGACGCGCATAGCCTCTCCTGCCTCCTGCTTGGTCTACTTTTGTTAAAGCCACGGAGACCCTCCCCAAGGCCAAGTCGGTCATAAGGGGCATCCCACGCCCACCGTCCCGGCTGGGCTCTTTGCAGCCTACTACACCCCCCATAACCCAGGTACCCCCACATTTACACAGCCGCTGACGTTGTTACTGTCCCTCATCACACCACCTCCCCCCTCAACGTTCAAACACATTCGCGCACACACAGTCCCTCACACCCTCCCCATAGTCGACCTTCACACGTTACAATCATCCATGGTCAGGTAATAATCGCATCAATGTGTTCAGTCCCTGCTACATTCACACGCATTTTCACGGGCACACCTGCACACGGGACACTTACCGTTCTCCTCTCGCACACGCATACACACATTCACGCGAACTCACCCTCACGCGCCTGTCCCGCCAGCGCCCGCAAGCTTCACTGCTAATTGAATGCAAGCCGCTTTTACGCCCTGCAACACGTGAGACAAACCATCTTTGAGGAATTTGGGGGAAGGAAAGCCGCGCGGCTGAAGTCGGGTGGGGGAAGGAGTGTCTTTGCCTTTAAACTCTTTTTGCAAATGCAGGCGATGGCACCGACAGACCTCGAGCCGGACCCGCGGAGCTGCGCGCAGCAGAGCTCGCGCGGACCCTTCCCTCCCGCACCCCCCGCTGCTAGCCGCCTCCTCCCCGAAGCCACGTTCAACACGATGCATAATTGATAGTGTTAGCAGAGCGCCGCGCCCTCCCTACCATTTTTGCCTGGATCTGGGCTGATATAAGCCCTAGTCTCCCCCCGCCGCCGCCGCCGCCGCCCCAATCCCCCTCCGCCCCGCCTGCTTGTCTAACCCGAGACCAGAACGCACAGCCCTGCAGGGCGTGCTGGGAAGGGACGCCCCCCTCCCCAGCCCACCGTAGCCCTGCCCAACCTCTTAAACCGGAACTCTTTACATCTGGTCTTTTGTGGCTAAACCAGCGCTTGAAGCCCACTGCCCGGCTCGTTGGCCTAAGCGCACCGCGGGACAGGTGGAGCAGGGGGAAGCTCTCCCGAGCTCACCCAAGCACCTCACTCCAGGTCTTGCCTGCTCCAGGAGAACGAGGCACGGAAGCTGCAGCAGACAGTAGCACAGACAAGGACGGTGTCAAAACGTCCGCTACTCTTGAGCACGGTGGGCTGGGGACTTCAGGCCTAAGCATTTCTCCCATCCCTGCCCCCCATATCTTCCCAGCCTCTCAAGCAGACACTGGGTCAACCCCACACGCGCTATCCCCCAAGCTGCGGTGGCCCCCCACCGCCCCGCCGTCTCACACCCTCACACAACAGCCGGCTTCAGCAGACTCGCTGTTCCCGACTCTCGCTCCTTAGCTCTGATGAAACCCCGACATTTCTTTCAGCGACGAGGAGGCGGAGGCGCGGCGATGTCGAGGCATTTGGCTAAAACCCGGTTTCCGCCCCCCGTGCGCTGCCCACGTTAGCCCTGGAGACAGCTACCGGCCAGAACCAGGAAAGGGGTTCAGGCTCCAGGAGACACGCAGAATCCCCACCCGTTCTGTAGCCACTGAGTTCTCCGGGCGCACCAAGTCCCACAGCCATCACCCCGGGCCATGGGGGGTCTCTCGTGGTGGGTCGATGGCGCGGGTTTGGGGCTTCCGTGGAGATCAATACCCCGATTTGAGTATTGAGCATCTTAATGAGCTAGGGGAGGGGGTGGGGAAGAGAGACAGGGTAAGAGCGCAGCATCTAAAGAGACCACCCGGCCCGGGGTTCCGAGGCTGCTTTGTAAATTAAATATGAACAGACTGGTGCGCTCACGCTCCAAGCGTCCCTCCCTCTCCTACTGCTGCCGTCGCTACAGGCGGCCCAGCGGGCTGGGACCATCGCATCTCGCTTAGCCCCAGTTCAGAACACAGAAATTCACACAGCCTGCTCTGGCCTGGGATCCCCCCAGCCCACCCATGGGGAGGGCGCAAGGCGCCTTTCAGGGAAGGTGTCTTCGAGAAAGGTCGAGGGGTGAGAGCACTGTGACCCGTCCCTGCCGGGGACCCTGTGGTGGGGCAGCCAGGATTGGGTCCCTAGCCTGGGAGTGAGTCCCTGAGGTTTCTAGGCCTTGCGGGGTCGGGGGAGGGACGCAGACAGCGGGACCAGCACACCCTTCTTTGTCTGCCGCACAAGGTGGGGGTGGGGGCGGGGAGCTGCGCCCTGGGCAGTTGTCCGGTCTTGGGATCCCTGAGGGGGCGGTCTTGGGAGCCTATGCCAGGGAAGGATCTTAGGAGGCAGGGGCCCAGCAGCTGGAGCTGAGTCCGGTCCCGGATGGCGTGTCCAGGGGACTTTTCGCGACTGAGTGAGGGGCGTCAGGCGGGGAGACCCAAGGCCTTTGGGCCCTCCCCTGGTTTTTACCTGTTTTCTTTCTTTCTTTTTTGCCTTCCGCAGGGAGGCAGAATCTGGGTAGTGGAAGGGAGAATAGGCTTGCTATTTGCTCGGAGCTTCCCCGGACTGCAGGAACCCGTCCTATAAGCAACCCGGAAACCTCGGGGCCCGAGGACCAGGGAAGACCCCCTTTCCTTGCTGTCTTGACAGGGTTGCAGAAGCCAAGGAGTTCGGCAGGGAGACCTTGGGTGGTTAAAGACGCAGTGACCACCCCTGCGCTGGAGCTGACTCCCGCGGTCCCCGGAGGCTCTAGCTCACTCTACAGCAAATGCTTTTGTCCCCTAGGCTGCCCTGGGGGAAAGACGCCCCTTACCCCTGCCTTCGAGCCTGGAGAGCCCAGTGCCCGCCCGGGCAGGGCTGGAGCCCGAGTCGCCCCAGGCAGAGTCCGCCGAGGCCTGGGGTGGGAGCCGCGACTTCTGGATCTGCCTCCGAGCTCAGCTAGAAGACTGCGCGCACCTCGTCCGGCGCCGCCCGGTGCGCAGAAGCCGGTCTAATGTTTATAACGTTAATAAAGACACAGTTAACGGGAGGGCTGGGTAGCAGGGAACCAAGACCTCACCCCGCCGCCGCCCACGTCTTTGATCGTTAAAGAAACAGTCAACTAATCAGGTGTGTGGAAGTAGGGGTGGGGGAGGGGAGGGTGACAAGGTTCCAAGCCGGGAGCGCAGAGGGTCCCAGATTCACAATCTGCCGAATCCAGACTAAGGCTTCTAACCAGGCTGGGGCCGACCCTAGATAGACCCAGGAATGGAGAGCTGGAGCCCCCGGCCACTTTTTGCGGATCGACCCTTAACTTCAACGTTGTGAATCCGGAGCGTCGGGATGGTGGGGAGGACTGAAACCCATTGGATCTGGGGACTTGCTGCAGCGACTCCGTCCGCGCGCTGTTCCTGGGGCCCAAGCCTGCTCCGCGCGCGCCCCCTGCTGGACACCGCTTGCCGGGCGGAGAGGCGGATCAATGGCGGAGGGTGCCGGCTGGGCGAGGAAGATGTGGCTGGAACCCTGCACCAAGGCGAGCGCTGCCCGCGGCTGTGCAGTCCTGCGGCGCGATACTCCAGTGGGGCGCGCTTAACCAAAGTCCCGAGGCTTTACTTCCCGTGCCCACCCAGTCTATGTCCCAGGTATCAGCAACCTCTGGTCCCCTACACAACACAGGCGCGGTCCCTACTTCGCTCTGCGTAGTGTTTCCAGTGCCCAGGGCGTCTCCTAATTCTTGAACGATAGTCGTCCCTGGCACGAAAGCTTCTTATACACCTCTCCCATTCTCCCTTCTCTCTGAGTCTTATGACTCTCTCAGGGGCCTATTAAAATAAATATCTGATATCTGAAAAAAAAATCTATTGGCGCTAAGAGGGGCAAAAGGAAACTGCAAAATTGGAAGAAATCGATGTTTGAATGTTTAGGACATGCAATATTGTGTAAACGATTCTGTTGCAACTGCACTCAGAGTTGTATATATGCCCTGTATTTTAATGTGGCACGCAGAGGATTTAATGGACTTGCCTAAAGATGTGGGAAGGGCCTCTGAGAATAAGAAAGCCGGGGCCCAGATGGGCATCAAACATCCCCACCATAGCAGCCGGTTAAGGCTGCGGAGACCTTCCCCACGGCTGCCCTCCAGCCAGAAGCCCCTGAACACTCACTGTTTTCCATCTTTCAGCTTCTGCGCGCGCGCGCACACACACACACACACGTTCTCTCCAGTCCCTCACCTCCAAGAAGCTGCTTTCCTTTTCTAATTTCCAGTCGAAAGATCACTCCTCAGGGAAGCCAGGCCCAGTTTATACTTCCCCCTCCGGCCTTTCCTTGTACAGGCTCTATGTAGTCGTCAGGAGGGCAGGTTCTAGCATCAGACTCCATTATGTACTGACTGTGCTTAGCCAAGTTATTTAACCTCTCTGTGCCTCAAGAAAAAAAGGCATAAATAAGAGTACTGGCCAGGCGTGGTGGCTCACGCCTGTAATCCCAGCACTTTGGGAGGCCAAGGCGGGCGGATCACGAGGTCAGGAGTTTGAGACCAGCCTGACCAACATGGTGAAACCCCGTCTCTACTAAAATCACAAAAATTAGCCGGGTGTGGTGGTGCGTGCCTGTAATCCCAGCTACTCAGGAGGCTGAGGCAGGAGAATCACTTGAACCTGGGAGGCAAAGATTGCAGTGAGCTGATTCCAGCCTCGGTGACAGAGTGAGACTCTATCTTTAAAAACAACAACAACAACAACAACAAAAGAATACCTATGCTTTTGGGTCACCTTGAGGATTAAATGAATCAATGTATGCAAAGCACTTAGTACCTGGCACTTAGTGCTCAGTACTTGGCCACTTTTTAAATACAATAGCTGAATTAGCCATTATTATTGCCTTGCAGAGTTGGACACAGGTTTGATAAAATGTTGTGCTGCCCACACCCCTACAGGCTTGTGTCCTGCCTCCCCCATAGGGGAGGACCTTGGCTCTGCCCCCAGACCTCTCTCTTCACCACCACCACCCCCTTTGCACACACACACACCATGGGTATATGTAGCAACCAGATTTACTATTATGATTTGTAAAGGTTTCTAGTTTCAGATACTTAGACTGGGCTTGTGGCTGCCACCAGCATGCCTGTTTGCGAAGAGAGATCTGCAACTGCAGACTTGCTGAAAGGTTTTTAATTAAAACAATATTCTGCTTAAGCGTTTATTGGACTTTGTGACTTTTAATTATTTTCTAGGGGGAAAAAAAAATCCACATTTGCCTATGAGAAGACTGTTGATTTCAGAGGAAAGTAGCAACCCGTGGCAGTTTGCTGGAGGCAACTGAGAGGAATTTTCTGAATGGTTCTAATGAAGCTCGACATTATTAATAATCTGGGATCCAGCCCATGACCCTCCCCCCAGCATTTTCATGAAATTAGCTTAACGTACTGGCAAGGCCTTTTATTGCCATCCAAATTAACAACAGCTCTTCCAGTGGCAGCTCATGTAATTATCTGGGTCTGTGCTTGTCTCACTGAATAAGAGGAACTCCTGCCTGGAAGAGGCAATACTCCTACATTCAAGGGGGAACCTGGCCTAGCAAGATGGCTCATGCCTGTAATCCCAGCACTTTGGGATGCCAAGGTAGGAGGAGTATTTGAGCCCAGGAGTTTAAGACCAGCTTGGGCAACATAGTGAGACCTCATCTCTACATTTTTTTTAACTAGTTGGGCATGGTGGCACACGGGTCCCAGCTACTCTGGAGGGAGACTGAGACCAGAGGATTGCTTGAGCCCAGGAGGTTGAGGCAGCCATGAGCCGTGATCACACCACTGCACTCCAGTCTGGGCAACAGAGTGAGACCCTGTCTCAAACAAACAAACAAACAAAAAACCATAAAAACCCCAAAAAACAAGTAAGGGGGGCGGGGTGCAAAATGCTTGGCAGTCCCACCCCAGTTCAGGCAGGACTGTTTTCCACAAGAGATGTTCTGAGGCAGCCAGCTCCTCTGTGGCAGGACTTGCCCTGGTAAAGGTAGGGCTGGGTGAGGCAGGGGAGTGGGGGCTGGAGATGATGTGTAATATTTCCATCGGCAAATAACAAGATACCCACCTCCAAGGATGGAAAGTATTAAGTATATCATCTCACAAAGCAGGAAGAAAGGCTGGCTTCCCAGCTGTTGATTCAGCGACTCAATGACATCAGCAGTCACAAGTTCTTTCATCTCTCCCCTCTGCCACCCTTAATAGGGCTTCCAGCCCAAGGACTGGGTCCCTTGGTGCCTTGGTGTCACTGGAGGGCTTCCGGAGCCACCAAGGAAACATACCTATTGTGTTTTTTTTTTTTTTTTTTTCTTTTCAGATGGAGTCTTACTCTTGTTACCCAGGCTGAAGTGCGGTGGCACAATTTTGGCTCACTGCAACCTTCACCTCCTGGGTTCAAGTTATTCTCCTGCCTCAGCCTCCCGAGTCGCTTGGATTACAGGTGCATGCCACCACACCTGGCTAGTTTTTGTATTTTTAGTAGAGACGGGGTTTTGCCATGTTGGCCAGGCTAGTCTCAAACTCTTGATCTCAAGTGATCCTTCCACCTCAGCCTCCCAAAGTGCTGAAAATTACAGGTGTAAGCCACTGTGCCCAGTCACAAACGTAATGTTAACAGACTAGTGGGTTAGAAAGACAGGTTTCTCTTTTTTGAAGCCACAGCCTCTCCCTTGGCTCTCGACACCTATTGGCATAGGACTATTTATCTCTGAACCAGTCACTGGTGAAGGGGTTGAAATTGATTGGTTCAGAACAATCA